ATAGATACGTGATTGCTTCTAACGACCCAAAATCAAACAGATTTGATGGGGGATCGTACCAATCTTGGATAAGACAAAAAGATTATTCTTATATAAATAAGAGAATATGTTTCTTACGAAAAGGGATCAAACCCTCCGTAAACCGTCTTTTTTTTCTTGGTCAGTTTTGAGAATACACAGAGAAGTAAGAGATTCTATTGACAGTAGACTATCCTAGCTATTCAGGTTTGATGAACCCCCATACATACGGTTGTCTGTTTTATTTGTTTTCTGACTGTTAACATGAATATTTCAGTCAATCATTCGACACTCAGGACCCTCTCATGCTCTATTTTTCACACCATCAATCATAGAATATACACTTTACTAGCCATTTTAGTCAAATTAAATAAATTGCCTAATGGTTGTGATACTGGAATAGAACAAGTCCACCATGGATGCACACTCCTTGCAGGTGACAACCCATTCCTTTGTCTACGTTCTCTGTCTCTGGCCATGAATGGGCAAACTTTAAATGACTAAATAAAAAAAATCAACTTAAACAAATGCACTTAACAATAAATGTGCTTGGGATGTAAATTATCTAATAATATCCACATTTTCAACATTTTTCATAGAAGGAAAAAAATTGAAATCTCTTGACTAGAAAGAAAAAAAATGCAAAAATAAAATAAGTACCACCAAATTAAAGAATAAAAATGTATATGGAAGACTTGAACCCTTGATCATAACAAGACAAAACCTTTACAAGACAAGGAATACCATTGGACCAAAGACCCATTAATTATATGAAATATATATAAGGAAAAGATAATGCGGTCTTTGATTGAGCACAATGAACAATCAAATTTCATATAGTCAATCTCGAATAATTTTATTTTTATGAGAGACTCTAAATAACTAGAATAAATCTTCTATTGAGTTGGGAATAAGTTCGTCAATGAACTGGATTTTGAATGATATGAATTAAAATATGATTTTAAAAGTTTGATCTAATTATTCGATGATTTTATTTTTATGGTGCCTATAACAACTCAAAATTCGATCTGAATTTTACTAAAATTTAACAAACTATATTTAAATTTCGTAAAATCAGATAGTGAATTCAAATTCAAGTTTGAATTATCGATAAAAGTATTTTAATTTATATCTCATTAATCGAATTTGGATAAAAAATCGATATATTCACTCCTTGAAGTTAAAGAAGGGAGAAATTTAAAAAGTAGTTCAAATGGTAACAAAAATGAACTTAAATTTTGATATTTTTTTTGGGTCAATGACTATAAGGTTGTATAAATTAATCCAAATATGTTGACCGTTAAAAAAAAAATTTGCAAAAAGAGAAGTGGCAGAAATTTTGTGTAAATGAAGAGGTAATTGGGTGATTGGAATGAATCCCGGCGAACGCTCCTTTTTTCCACTTTCCATAAACCACAATCCATCATCTACATGAGTCTTGGCCTAGGGGCTCTTTCTTTATTGTCTTTTGATAACTGCCACATGATTGATGTGCATTTGCCTATCTTTTCCTGGAAAAATAAATTGCTTTTTCCTGACCTCCCCCACAACAGCCTTTGTCCTGTGTCTTGCAAAAGTTGCTTATACAAATCTGAAAAAAGAAAGGTGTACTGAGATACCCACATTCAGACACACCATTCAAAATTGAAACACACAATATCAGACAACAAACAAGTTATTCAAAACTCATCCCCTCTCTCTCTCTCTCTCTCTACCCCTCTGTGGGTGTGTGCTTGTGTGCATTTTTGTGTAATTTGAACCAGGAAAGGAGATGAATCTGCTGTTGCTGCTAATACCCATTTGGCTTTTTAGCTACACTTCGTTTGCAGCTCCAATGGATGTCAGACCAGACTCTCCTCTTTCTTCCATCGGTGACCCAGTTCTTCCCACTGAGAAAGAGCCCCTTTCTCAAACTTCTTCAGACATGGAAGCCCATTCTCCAGGTAATCCAGCAGTGCCCATCATCATCTTTTTCTTCATTTTACATAATAGGTCATAAATTACCCTTCTTTTGGTTCATCATTTACTTGTAGGGGTTCACAGACCATCCCCTGTTAGACTGATTAATTCAGGCAACAAATTCCGCAATTAGCCTAAGATTAATTACATAGTATCATACAATGATAGCTTTGCTTAATTTGTTCCAACAAAGTGCAGCTTTAGATTATCCACAGGGATAATGCAGCCCCATACTTGGTAATTATAACTGGTTTTACTTTATGAAAGTAGGATATTATCTATTCTTTTACATTATTTTTCTCTTTTTTGTTTAAGTGTCCATTCATGAGTTGACAAGTTTATTTCTGAATCAATCAAATTTTGCTAAAGCATATTCATTTGCTTTTGAAATCAGGAATGCCAGAGGTCAGAATAGTGCACCACCAGGATTTGAACAAGAAAATTTTAATTGCTCTAATTGTCTCTTCAGCTCTTCTTGGTGGAATTCTGTTGTTTCTCTCTTGTTTCTGGATCTACAGACTGAAAAATTCGAAGAAATCTAATGCACAAAGCCAAGAGAGCTTGGGTATCTTCTTTTCCATGAATATTTCCATTCACTGATTCCCTTCATGTTTTTGGGTTAGACTTCCTTGTTTTACTTATGCCCCTCTCGCTGTCTCTGTGTCTGATTTTGGATTTCAATTTGAAGATGCTTCAAAAGGGCTCTCATTGGGTCCAATATTGGGTAAATTCACTGCTTTGAGAACTGCTGGTAAGAAGGGTTCAGTCGATGCTATTGAATATCAGCTTTTAGTAGCTGCAACAAACAGCTTCCAAGAATCCAATGTTTTGGGGGAGGGTGGATTTGGACGTGTGTATAAAGCTCGCTTCAATGATAACTTCCTTGCTGCTGTTAAAAGACTTCGTGGTCAAGGCCAGGATACTGAAAGAGAATTTGAGGTAATTTTTTTAGCTGAACTCTTCTGAGGGGATATGATTTTCCATTGTTGATTTGCTTCTCAATCGGAATTGCAGAATGAGGTTGATTGGCTAAGTAAAATTCTGCATCAGAATATAGTTTCCCTTTTGGGTTATTGCATTCATGGCGAGTCGAGGTTTCTGATTTATGAAATGATGCACAATGGTTCCTTGGAGTCCCAATTGCATGGTAAAAAGGTTTTCTCATTTCCATATGTTATGAGGAAGAAGACCAGAGAATAATGGATGCATTAACTTTTTTCCTAATGCCTATCTTGTCACTGCTGGCATAGGACCTTCTCATGGATTAGCTTTGACTTGGCACCTCCGAATGAAAATTGCACTAGATGTTGCAAGGTATTTCCTTTTTGGCAATTGTTTTTTTCAAGTTCCTTTCTGAATTTGCAGAATCTCGTAAACTATCTTTGTTCTTATCAGAGGACTAGAATATCTTCATGAGCGATGCAGTCCTCCTGTGATCCATAGAGATATCAAATCATCTAACATTCTTTTGGATTCCAACTTCAATGCTAAGGTAAATTTTCTTATGTGATGACACATGTCAAAATTCACTTGCTTACTTTTGTTGTTATCCTTGATGTTGACTAAAATTTTCTCGTTTCCAGCTTTCTGATTTTGGCCTTGCTATAACTGGTGGCACTCACAACAAAAGCAACATAAAGCTTTCAGGAACTTTGGGCTATGTGGCTCCAGAATATCTTTTAGACGGTATGTGAAAGCTTGATATGACTGTTAAGTTCTATCCTTTAAATGCTCCTTCTGCAGTAATCATCCTTCTTCCAGCATCTTAGATGTCCATGTTATAGTTTTGATATTTTGACAACAACTGCAATATGTCTACCTCTATACCTCAGTGGTGTTTCGTATTTAAATCCCAATAGCAAGATATTGGAATTGAGAGAATGTGGTTATGGAAAGGGGAGTTCTATCCCCTAATGTGTAGCCAATTTCATTGGACCAAAGTAGGAAAATATCTCTAAATCTATTACATTTTGAACTTTCCTGATAGCACTTTATGTGGAAGCATAATTAGCTTTATTCTGTCGCACATGGCAATATGCTTGCATATTGAAGACAATAATTTCCGTATTGTAGAAATACTAGTTTCTAGGAATTTTCTCCAGTGACGATGCATGTTTGTATTTTCCTTCTTTCAATCTCGTTTTCAGTAAGCTCTTAAGTTTCTCCCTTCAAAATAATTGTTTTTCTTTTCACTTCCTTTACTTTTCCACCATATTTTTTGCATTAATTTGCAATTCCTCGGTGCCATTTTCAAGTTTTCACATCAGCACACCTGGCTTAGAATATGGCTTGAAAAACCTGTTTTCTAACACGAAGATAAAGTAAACTCTCTCTACTTGGCTATGTAGACCACACACTTTTCTGTAAATCTCACAATGCTTCTTGCCCTGGAATCTCAGTTCTTTCAAGCAAAAATATATTCTTGGGCAAGGATTTGTTTCATTGCTTTTAGAGGAAGCCTGTTGTATTATGATTCTAATGTTAGTCTGTTCTATTCATGATGTATCTGTAAAGCCTACAGATTCTAAAGTTGCCCTGAACCAATCCAATAATTGGGAAGCAGCCACCTAATTTAGAAGGAAAAAATATTTACTAATTCTTAAGGACTCGAAATTCATGTCAACACCACATCTCAACTTTCCATGTTTGCAATTTTGGTTTGAAAAATCCTGTGGATCCACCCTCCCCTTAAACCAGAGTGCCTTGAGATTCAACAAAAGACTCACAGATAAATTTATCATTGGTCATTTTTCAGGTAAACTAACTGATAAAAGTGACGTCTATGCTTTTGGTGTTGTTCTTCTGGAGCTTTTGATGGGAAAAAAGCCTGTGGAAAAAATGTCCCCATCTCAATGCCATTCTATTGTCACATGGGTATATTTTCCCTCAGCTCCCCATAGTTAGCTATGAAGCTTTGAGTACAAGGTCTTGTAGTGTAATTTTCTGTTGTTGATAAGCAGGCCATGCCTCAGCTGACTGACAGGTCAAAGCTCCCAAACATCGTGGATCCTGTTATCAGAAGTACAATGGATGTCAAGCACTTATATCAAGTTTGTTCCCTGAAACTATTATTTACTCAATTATGAATTACTCTTTTCTATTCCTCAATTGAATTATATGCATCAACTTGGTTAGGTTGCAGCTGTAGCCGTGCTATGCGTGCAACCAGAACCAAGTTACAGGCCGTTGATAACAGATGTCCTACACTCCTTCATCCCACTTGTGCCTGTTGAGCTTGGAGGGTCACTAAGAGTTGCTGACTCTGTGTCCCCTGCCAGAAGCTAGAGTTATTATCGCTGATAATATAAATGGGCTTGGGCTTGCATTCAAGGCAGCACTGTCATATTTTCTTCATCATTCAAAGCTGAGATGTATCGGAGAGCCCAGCTTCCTCTTCCCCACCCACCCCCCAAAAAACAAAAATTAATTGTTACCTCAATTGCCTTTTTTGTTTGAGAATCAGAAGCAGAAAATTGTTGCAGAGAAAATTTTGCTTTTGTTTGTACAGTTGTAAATGCAGGAGATCTTGTTTTTGACTCTTATTTAAAAAGTAGCATGTGCTAGTTTAGATATTTCGGTTTGTGTCCATCACATGGCTCAATCAAACTGAGCTGTTCTGTGTGTTATGTTACATAGATGTGCTACACTTGCTTATTGAGATATTTAGGACTTGTTGGCTCATTATTTTGGGCTATCACAAATTACTTCTGCCATGAGCCAGTGACTGCTGTCAGGGTCTTCCAGTTCACATAGTGAAATTCTCTTTTCAGCATATGACCTTCAATTACCTTAAATGTTCTTAATCCAGTTATTTGAACCTGATTACATAGAGCAAAAGAGGGTTGGTCCGGTGGTTGGCGCCTTCCCCACCTTGCTCCCCCAAGTCAAGGTTCGAGTCTCATCCTCTCATCGTCGGCTTACATGCCTTAATTTCAATATATAATGAATGTTCCAAGGCAGAAGAGCTTCAAAAGAGAGGAGGCAGACCAGAACCATTTGTGTGTGTGTGAGAGAGAGAGAGAGAGAGAGACCTCAAGACCCAAGGTTGGTATTTCACACCTAAGGCAGGAGAGCCAGTGACCGAGGCCACAATCTGGACGAATTATACTTCTCACATAGCAAATTATACTTCATATCCTGGGAATTCCAAGAAAATTTCAACTTGTTTTAACTAATGTTATGTTTCATTGTTCCTTGAAGTTTTCAGAGATGGACAGTGACTACCAATTCAGTCACTACCAATTATTTCTCAATACAAAACAGAATCAAGATGGACAATTTATTTAGTATAACGAATTTCTCGGAGAATCTCCTTCCTTTTTGTAAACATCAATAGCTACAAAATTTCCTATTCATTGCACATAAAAAAAATAAACTTTTTTGAATTTCTGGGTAAAAAAAAAACCTAAAGCTTAATTACGATCTACCAACGAAGCACACATCGTGTATAGAGAGGATTTTCAGTACTTGTTCAAGTTTTCCAGTAATTAAGTGTTGAAAATCCTCTCTGTTTTTTCTCACTAAAGGGAGGAGGGCGACCAAATGTAGAATTCCTGTAGCAATCACAGGAAGTTAAGTGCCGCTGAAGTCAAAAATCCTCTTTAGTATACACTTATTTGTGCAGAAAAGCCATGTAAAACAGCTCCCGAGTGCAAGATTCTAGTGAATTTTAACATTGAATGAAGTCTATTGCTAATCCATTCATCGTAGTACATTAGATCTCCAAATTATATCCATCTAGTGTTATTAGTGTAAATAACACATGTGAAAATGCCTACCATAACAACACTTGACAATTACCGGCAAATAGGGGTGTTAAAGTATGACACAACACGAAATTAAAGAATTTGAATCTTCTTTAAACCACCCGTTTTTTAAATTAGTGGACCCGACACAACCTTATCAATAAACGAATGAGGTATTCAAAAGAAATACATGATATGACTCATTTATATACTAGTTATACACCGTTCATACACGACACAAATTTGATATGAGACGACTCGTTAGACACAAATAAATAAATAAATTAAATATGAGTGAACTACTTTTGACACAAACTCGTCTCATCCAACATGACTCACAAACCTACCAACAAATAGTTTCTAAACACTATTATATAGCATAATGCGTGGAATAAGATCACTGTAGGCACAAGATTTTATCTAGTTGGGTAACGAAGTATACTATGTGAAAAGATAACATAATTGTCACGATATCATCTATGGAATCATATCAAACAAGCACACTTACCAGCAACTAAAGTACACGGCCTGTCATGAAAATTTCAGCCTCCCCAAAAGAATGCTGCTACTAATTAACTAACCCTGCCAAACTACTACCTGTCATTTGTCTCTCTCTCTCTCTCTATCCTCTCATACACACACAAACAGCACCTGAGAGAAAAACCATGGCCTGTTCAAGATGGGTCTGCATTAATAACTCAAGAAGCATGTTTGTGAAGATTGTTCATCGTGGTGGCCATGTAGAACTCCATGATAGGCCTATTCTTGCAGCTGAGATACTTCTTCGAAACCCGAAATGTTGTGTTGCTCATCCAAACGTTTTCAAGCAGCCTTGGGCCATCGTTGCACCGGACACCACCCTATTGCCCGGCCAAAAGTTCTATGTGGTGCCCATAGGCACAATCAGAAAGCTTCAAAGACACTCTTCCACGTATTCCTCTTCTCTGATCAGTCAAGAAATTCAGACCAGTCAAATTGGCAAAGTTGAAGAAGGAGAAGGTGATTCTACCTGCTGGTTGTTCATAGCTACTAATTCTCCAAAACTATGTTCACCATGTCTGAAACAAACTGAGAACGAGGGAGAGAAAGCAAAAATGGAGAAATTAAATGGTCACTGTTTGGAAGACAATTGCTTTCCTTGCTTGCCAAAAGCGATGAACAAGATTAAAACCAGCACTGAGGATTCAAGCAAAGATTCGAGATTAATTTCGGGCAGTTTGGGATCATCTGAGACAAGGGTAGGAACCAGGAAGAGGATCAAGGTTGTTAATACAAAGGGATTTCCCAATAGACTGGCATGTTTTGATCAGTCTTGGCGACCAAGTCTAGTGAGCATCAGTGAAGAATAGGGATCTGGACCCTCTATCGTTAGTTTTTTCAACAACATGGGTAATATTTCCCAAAACAACGTTGTTTCACACCAAAACATATATCTTTTTATTAAATAAAACGATATTATTTTGGTGTGACACAACGTCATTTTGAGGAAGAGCACCTCTGCTGTACAGCAGAGGATCTAGACTCGAAGAATAGAGGTACTGGAAAAGTCTTGGTGAATAATTGTGTTGATCAGCTTGCATATGCAAATAATCAAACACTGTTGTACTCTGCTTCTGTTATTGTGCAAAGGCATAAATAACTATTTTATCAGGGAGATACCAGCAATATATGTAAAAATTACATTTTCTATACATAATTTTCTTTACTCCATTTGACTACTTGGATTTGATGAATGAGATAGAGGCTAAAATTCACAATCTTGATAATATTTGTTGCATATATAGATGCATGTACCTGTGCTTGTTCAATAGTTGTAAATGGAAACATCCTGATTTGATTCGGAATAAATTGTTTATATCTCACATATTTCATTTTCTTAGCCACGAGTTTGACTCCCCTCCAATTTTTTAAGAATTGAACGATGCTTCAATTCTCTTTTAATGGCAAAGATCTACATGGTTTTATACTAGTTCATTGAATAGAGCCGAATCCCACCGATATTGGCAAAAAGTCTAGCCACATGGAAAAAATATTGGAGCACATTATTGGCAAGTGGTTGTTTTATATAACCTCTCAAGTGACAATATGAAAGAAACAAAGGAACACTAGATAAAAAAAAAAATACGAATTATAATTTCGTGCATCGTATGGGGTGGACTATTAATAAATAAATAAATAAAAATATATATATATACTAGTTATTATCTATGCCTGAAGGCACAAAATAATAAAACATAGTAAACAATAAACATATTTATATTCATATTTAAAATCAAATCACAAATATAGAAGATAAATAAATGAATTTAAACATTGGTTGTAGTGGGTGTGAGAAATGGTGGGCGACAGTAGTTGTGGTAGGAGACAATAATGGTTATGGTGAGTGACAATGATCGTGGTGGTGGTGACGACAATGGGGGGTGGCGGTGGCAACGGCGACGACGATAATGGCGGCGGCGGCGGTGGTGGTAAAGGTAATAATAGGGCGGTTTCAAACACTATTTTTTAAAAAATACTTATGAGAAATAATTCTTAAAAGTACTTTTAAAAAGTCATTTTGTTTATTCTTAAATTTAAAGCGAATTGAAGTGCAAAAAATAAAAGTCATTTTGTTTATTTTTAAAATTTGAATTGTAAGTTATATATATATTATATATATATATAATGTGACAATCTAATTTAGAAAATGTTGATTTTTATTTGACTAGCATTGAATAGATGCGCTAATTACGAATGTCATTTTTGTTATGTTTTCGTTGTTAAGTTGGTTTCGTTGTAATTCTTAAGTTAATGGTGGTATTTCGAAAGCCAAAAAAACTTCTTGTACCTTCTTGAGTTGAACATTTTTATAGTCATCTCTCTCTGTTGCTCCAAACCCATGTCAATTAGAAAAGAAAAGGGTAAATTGTAAAACGGCATACCAAATTAAATTTATTTGTCAAAAAAACACACTAAAAAATGTAGAATTATTAAGTATTTAATTTTGATACTTATTTGTATTCAAGCACATAATTTGAATTTATCTATTTTTATTGTGACATTTTTTTTTCATTAATTCATGTGTATTTAATGCACCATTTTTCTTTAGAAAATGGTGCATTAAACATCTCCTAATTTTATGAGAAAACTTTAATACATATATATACACGTTTTTATATATACATAAATACATATTTTTATATATATTTATATATATAAATATATATATATATACATAAATATATATATATATATACTTATATATGTATGTATATACTTATTGTTAAATCTCTTATCTAAATTTTAAATTATCTTTTAATGCACCTAAAATTAGGTGCATGTATATTCATGCATTTTTTTAAATTATCCGAATATGTATGTATATTCATGCATTTTTTTTAGAAAGTGATTTTATTTTCAAATTAATTCAATATCCGAATAGTGTAATAGTGTAACAATAACAGTGTAACACTGACAATGTAACAGTATAACAATAATAGTGTAACAAGTTATTTACACAAAATATTGTACTATTATATTTTGTCAAACATATAATTACATATAATTTCATTCAAAATAGTTCATCTCCGTTTTGAATTTATTACCATATACACAAAATTGTTGAACACTATTTTTGTTACAGTGTATTTGTTACACTGTCTTTATTACAGTGTATTTATTACACTATTATTGTTATACTATTACATTATTCGGATATTAAATTAATTTAAAAATAAAATTATTTTCTAAAAAAAAAACGCTTGAATTAAGGGGCATTAAATATAATTTGAAAACAAAATCACTTTTTAAAAAAAAATACACGTAAATCAAAGTGCATTAAAATAAATTCAAAATTTAAATAAGAGATTTAACAATAAATAAATAAATATATATATATACACACACACACACACACACATATATATATATTCATATATACATGTATATACACATGAATTAAAAGTGATTTAAACACGTATTTATATGTATAAGCAAACACACATGAATTATTATGCATTAAAGATAAAAAATTTTGAATTAAATGATTCTAAAATAGACATTTATGTCTTTTTAACTCGCATTTAATTTTATGTATTTTTTGTCAAATAAGTCTAATTAGGTATACGAGCCAAAGAACCCAAAAGAAAATGACTTTATTTTAGCAGTTGTGGGCTACGACATAGTGACACACTCACCTGACGAGCCCAAGCGTAGGCCCAAAACATTTGGTGACAACACCGTTCCAAAATGCCAATATGCTAATGGGCCCTTGGACGTGATTCTTTTTTACAAACTAATTTTGACTTAAGTATATTCAAAAAATTTGATCGGGGATAAACCCATTTTGTTCTCCGTCTAAAATACTCTCAATAATTATATTTAATCAAAATTTATTTGAAAAAATTAATAACTCCCAAATTAAAATTTGTATTAGTATAAATAACTCCAAACTTGAAAATTGTGTTAGTCTTAAAATTATATTTTTATCATATCTATATATATAGTAATATTAAACAGTAACAAACTCAAAAAAAAAAAATAGTAACATCAAATAGTAACACGTTCAACAAAAAAATAATAACATCAAACAGTAATATGTTCAATAAAAAACTGAATTAAAAATTTAATCATTATAATAGAATGACCCCCCACAACAAAATAAATATTCACATATGATGTCACTTTATTGTAATAATTAAATTTTTAATTAAATTATTTATTGAGCAGTTTAATGTTACTATTTTTTTGTTGAGCGTGTTACTATTTAATATATACATATATAAATAATATATATATATATATATATATATATAAGTTTAATGCTAAAACAATTTTCAAGTTAAAAGTTGTTATATTTGAAAACATTAAAACTAACAATGATATACAATATTGATGGTAATGGTAATTATGGAATACAATTCAAAAAGAATTTAAAATGTTTTAAAATGTGTGTTTGTTAACAACTATTTGATGAACAAGTGAAATTAACAGAATATAAGTTTTGAGGGAATATTTAAAGTCAAATAAGTTCTGATCCAATTATCTGTATGTTTAAATATGGGGTTAATCTTATTTTCTACCGTATTTTACTAATATAATTTTTTGAGTTAATGAAATATTATCATTAATAGTAGATTCCGATATTAATTACAATCTGTTACCAATTTAACAGTTATGATCCATTAGATTAAACAACTAAATTAAATTTAAATAATATTTTTTAATATATATATATTTATATATATATATTAGAGAGGTGCACCCGATAATCCCTATCCCTAACCCACACCAGACGGGATGTTTTTAAAGGTTAGTTTCTTATGAGAATTAGGATTCTGATGTATATAGATTTAAGGAGTCTTCTTCTTTCTTTGCTTGTAGCGCACGATTTCATTGTGAATAGATTTTCTGTTTCTACGTTTTTCTTCGAGAAACACAAAGAATTTCCATACACGTTGCGAGGTTCAGTAGGATCAACCGAAAACCATGAGAGAGAGGCCATCGCGATACGACGGCAAGCGTCCCCTCGAAGAAGAAGAAGATGATGATGATGACTCCAACAAAACCACCTCGCGAAAATGAATTCGCTTTCCGAAAGGTAAAAAGGTGAATGAAGAGAATTATGGGATGGATCATCGCCTAAATTCTGATTATGTTTCGAGTGGGTCGATAGATCCTCGTGTTGCTGCCAGAGATCGTGCAATGCGGCGGAATCAGATCTCCGCCGATCAACTTCTCGAAGAGAATCGACGAATTAGTGATGAGATTTCACGAGAAGATGTTCCGGGTGGGAGGAGAGAACGTCGTCGTCTTGCTGCTAAAGAGCGCGAGATTCGGAGGGATCAGTTTAACGCCGAACTCCTTAGGGAAGAAAATAGAGGAATGACTGATGAGATAACAAGAGCAGAAGTGCAGTATGATGATGATGATACTTTTGTTCAGGATGGGATTCGGATTGAACCTTTCAATTTGACGGAAGAGAGAGAAGAAGGGTATTTCGATGATTCAGGAAATTTTGTCGAATTCATGTGTGATAGTGAGATCGATGAAGCAATGGACACTGAAAGAAATTCTACAAGAACAAAGAGTGAAGACGAAACTCCCGACCTTCCTTCCGAAGACTCTGGAAAGATTAAGAAGCGAATCGCTGATGTTCTTGAGACTGGAGAGACGGTTTTACAAGCTTTGAAGAGATTGAAAGGAAATTCAAATAATAGGAAGGAGAAGATGTCGCCGGAAACCAAGATTCTCTTTGATCAGTTGACTGAAGATGCCATGAAGCTGATGGAGAATGGCGATTGCAATGTCTATGACTACAAGCAAGAGATTTTTCAGCGAGAAGCAGAAGTATAGGATAGGGCAGAGGGGCAGGGTGACTCAACCAGTGCAGGTCAGAAAATTTCTGATTCTACTCTGAATGTTTCTACTGATCCAAGCAATGACGACGATACATTCGATATGATTGGGGAAGATGATCAAAACCCTAATGCCGATACAGGTTTTGGTGGGAGAAAGTTGGTTGCTGGTGCTAATTTTAGTGGGATTAGTCAAGCTTCTGAAAGTGGGGATTTGCAGAGTGATCATGTGTATGATGAGTCCTCTGGTTACTACTGCTGTAGTAGTGTGGGTTACTACTATGATCCATCTTCAGGATTGTATTGTTGTGCAGCAACAGGACAATGGTACTCATATAACGAGGCGACGAGCATGTATGATGAAATGTAGGAGGCTGCATCCATGGTGAGCTTATAGCGACAATTCAACTTTTAGTTTTAGTTTAGAATGGTATTAAAATCCACTTTACTTTTCAGATTCTTGTTAATAGTTTCGAGACTTTTAATAAGCCCTGTCCATGATTTTTTTTTTTTGGTTCTAGTTTAAGATTCTAATCTATGTAAGTTTTGACCATTGCATTTGTTTTATTTTAGTGACTCGTTTTACTACAATATGGTTTATTTGAATGATAGTATGATATTACTAGAATTAATAGATGATTGTTAAGGTTTTGAGCTTGAGAGGTCCCCATTGCTGAATGGATGATCCTTGAGTCATTTTCAAGCTATATTACACATTCTTTATATTTTATCATATTTTTTATTATTTTACCAGCACTTCGTCCTTGAGATTTTCAGGATTAGTTTCATGCTAGACAGGTTTTGCCTCTAACTATGGGTGGCTGTTGTTTTGAGTTGGACAACGATTATGTGTCTCATAGACCGACATACCAACTCTATCCAAGTTAATGTTCCTGTTGTGAGAGCACTTTTTGGTAGTTTATATCTGCATGAATCATAATTTCATTATTGTTTAGTTACTTGAACAGATTTGATTATTGAGTTTGACATAAAGTGTGCAGTTTAGCCTACACTGGGAGGACACTGCGCAGAGCAGAAAGTTCTGATGTGTAAAATAAGGTAGTAATTATTGTAGATGGATATCTGAACCTTCTGCTTCCTTTTCTCCAAGTGAAGAAACGCATTGATGGGTCCCTTTGTTTGGGGGTCAGGAATTGGTGGGGATCTCCATACTGCATCTCTTCAAGGCACACTGTTTTGCTTAGGGATGAAGAATTAATGGTAGCTCTTTACCACTCCTCGTTAACAATAATAAGTTGGATGCATCAAACATGGGATCTGAGCTTGGCCTTAGGAGGCTTTTGGACAAGACTCTCAATCCATTTCACAGTAAGTGATGCTCCCTTTGTTTGTTTCATAAAGGTCTCCTTGTTAACTGACATTGTCTAATTTTTCTCACCCGAACAAGAGTTGCACATGTGGAGTGTAATAAAACTTGACCTTTCATTAATACAATAACACCTTATACTCTTATAGACTAGTATATGAACTTTGCGGACCTCTCAATTCATTGCTAATTGATTTTAAGTTGGATGTACATATAATACATAGATGGTCTGGAACAGAACCACCAGACCTTTCTATTTACTGACCTGGAACATTTAAATGAATTCAGACTGAGCAGAAAAAAGGGGAAAATCTGATGTATGACACGTAGGATCTTGAGCACTTGAGAAACATGTCCATTAGCTAATAGAACAGAAAAGAGGGATTCTCTACCAGCCAGAAATTCTTCCATTAGAAAAAATATAAATAGCTTACACCAAATGTCAAAAATTTTGAGCTTGAATAGGTAGAAGAAATCTTGCTTAAGTTGGAGTTGAATGTGGTTTAGACTAAAAAAGCATTTTAACATTAAAAGCGTGGAAGTGGCTAAATATTTATGAAAGATATTTGTCCAGTAAGTGATGGTCTAAGATCTTGCACAAGCAACGTGCACACACGAATATTTATCTACTCAGTAGTAAGCATCAGTTTTGATAAGGTAAGAAAAAAAAAATACCTATCATTGATAAATATTGCAGTAATATTGTTTCCTCCTCCGTTTTTAGTAACAACATGAACCAAAAGTACGATCAAACTGAGACCAAGTATCATAAACAAAAATGGAATTGTGAATGAAAAATACAAGTTTTCTATAAAACAGTACCATCTAGTCCTAGTTCCTATATATGATCTCCATTTCCAACCTTGGATCAATGAATCTCATTTGTTGGATTATTCCCAGCCCTTTTATCATCATCCTCCACCAAATCAAAAAATGAAACACGAAAAGTAAAAGGGAGAGAAATAATGGTTTTCTTTTCTTATTTCCCTCACTCCTCTCTTTCAACTTCTTCTGCGGAATGCCAACTAATCTATGTCATGCTCTTGGACTTTTAATATATGTAGTGTTGTCGAATGGTCTCAATTTCCAGACGCTTGAGCTTCACACTGATTTGACTTGCCCCTTGAGTGTATTAAGCTCCTTCACAACATACAAAATTCATCTTCCCTGAACATATAGAGTGCATAGTCTCCATTCCTGGTAATCCTAGCAGAATTAGTCAAGTTTTTGAAAGCGGAGATGTGTGGGATGATTGTGTATGATGAGTGCTATGATTACTACTCCAGCAGCTATTTGGGTTACTGCTATGATCAATGTTCAGGATTATATTGTTGTGCAGGAACTGTCATTGGCACTCACACAACCAGGAGACAAGCACCTATGATATGAAATTCAGGACGCAGCATCTATGGTGAGGTGATAGAGAACAGTTTTGGTAGAATTTTATTATACTTTTTTTTCCCTGATTATTAAAACCCCACTTTATTTGTCAATTTCTTGTTAAAAGTTTCATATTTAGGATTTCACGTTGGTTTTAATTTCAGTTTTTCATTCTTTATTAATTTTGACTGTTACATTTGCTATATTTTACTGACTCATTCTTTTATAATATTACCAGAATTATTGTATGATGATTATGATCTTGAGCTTAAGAGTCTATATAACGAGGTCCTAGTTGCTTGATAATCCTTGAGCCATTCTCAAGCAATCCATGGCTTCAAAGTTGTCATCTTTTCGATCACTTTGCCTGCTCTATGTCCTTGAGAGTTTGGACATGTCTCTGTTAAATTAACCTTTATAATAGAGCAGCTAATGATATAAAGGCTCCCACGTATTCAGTTTTAAACTAAAAACAAAACTACTCTAAGATTTACACAGTTTTGCTTTCAAGGTTTTTATCAAGACTCGATTAATATTTTCGAGTGTATTGGCAACCCATGGTCAAAGAAATCGATTCTTATTGAGATTCCATTAATATTTTGGAGTGTATTGGCAATCCTTGGTCAAAAAATAAAACAGCCACAGAGGATGCAGCTAAGGGGCTCTATGGTACTTGAAGCAACCAGATTATCAACCAAAACACTGTTTAAGACTGTTAATTTAGATCAAAGTGTTCATAACTTCGACAGAAATAGAAAATGACGAGGAAACTTGGAATTGATTAGGAAATTGGTTGTTTTCCAAGTGCTAGCTGAAATTAAGAAGTCAATCCCTGTGAGTTTGGATTTGCAAATGTTTTGGAAACAGCCTGATAAAAAATACATGGTCTAAACAGAATCACCATAGCTTTTACTTTCTAATCTGGAAAATCTTAATGGGTTAGTTTATAACAGAGCCTTGGAAGTGGCATAATCAAATTCAGCGACCGGGATGGAAAATAGGGAAAATTCTGATTCCATGATGCATAGGATCTTGAGCTCTCATAAAAACATGTCCATTAGGTAATAGAAGAACTGCCTAGATGGTTTCTTCAAGAGATGCAACAAATGCTCTTCAAATTGTGGTCCTACAGGGTTTAGATTAACAAAACTACGACTGCGGGAAAGGCTACTCTAACATTTTTTTTTTTTGGTGGGGGGGGAGGTGCAACACCATTTGGCCTATAAGCAGAGTACTAAAGCCATGTGCATGCTAACATGCATTTTTTTTTTTTTTTCGAGGCACACCATTTGGATAACATGGTTGCACATGTAAGGCATGGGAGAGGAGGATGATGCAAAGAAAAATACATACCCTTTCTAGTATGAGAGAGAGAGAGTGTGTGTGTGTGTGTGAGAGAGAGAGAGAGAGAAGGGTCTAGCATTACCTTGACAAGGGGGTTTGAATTGAGACACATACTAACTAAAGAAGATCAACATATAACAACGTATGAAGAGAAAAACCATGTAACATGACTCGGCTCCACTATCAAGATATTGTTTGTTTTGTCCGCAGAGATAGTTAGTTCAATTCTCTCTTGACGATGCGGGGCTAAATACGTAGATTAGGCACCTTAATCTCATCTCAAATCACCTATTTTGACGTGATCTCTTTCAATCAACTTTGCTAAGTGCATGACATAATCATGAAACTTCTTATCATAAACAAAATCATGAGGTTTGGAACACTTTTGATTTTGGATGGTTGTGGGGGACCCAAATCAGTTCCCCAAACAGATAGTTAATCATGGATTTAGCTGGAAACGGCAGGTCCCACCCATTATCAAGATCAAAGAAAATAATCAAAAAACTTGAAGGAAAAAACAATAAAGCACACAGTAGTTGAAGCCTTGTAGCCATCTTTCTCAATTCCAGACAATGTAAATTAGGACAAAGAGTCTGAGTGTACACATAGTGGATTTAAGAAAATGACTTGGAACTGACCAGAAAACTTAGCAGACGTGGTTACTTAAATTCACTATGTCGTCTTTTGCTGCAAACAAAAAGGGGGTCCCATGGTCTGGATATAGTGAAATGTATGCAGATTTATCTCGTCATTTATTGTACCAAAATCTATTGCTATCGACAGAGGAGATTTGATCGATAGACAGTTTTCGGACAATTACTTATAATGGGTTCAAATGTCTTATTTTATGACTTCCTTAGATGAATTTTAATAGACAACCACATAGTACTGGGAACTAGTAAAAGAGAATTATTTTATTACTTCAGTCGAAAGGACTTCGATCATAGAAAAACTTGATTAACTACTTCAATTGTAGCAGTAACTACATTGTAAAACTAATCTAAACTACTCTTAAAAAGGCCCATATTGTGGGTCTTTTTGGGAGTTAGAATATATTATTCATCTTCTCCACTATATACCATTTATAACCATTGCCTTAGACGATTCTGTCTTAATCGACGACTATCTAATTAATTAGTCAAACGATTATCTCTTCTTTTCAAATATGGTTATGGTTAATCATCTCCCACCTTTCTTCAAATTCTATCACGTGGCATCTTCTCAATACCTCTAGATTTTTCATATGCCGATACATCTAATATTCTTATAATTTTATATTTTAGGCCCCAACACCACAGTTGCAAATAATGTGTGTTTAGTTCTGGGAAATGAACTCAAGTGTCATGTATGAATAACAATTCCTCTATGTAAGCTTGTGGAACTTTTCCCGAGGTCTTGCTGCTTTATGAAAATATCAAATAGAGCAATGTAGAAAGAACAGGATTGGGGTTTTAAAAACAGTATGCGGGTCAAAAGTAGCACTCTTTGAAGGAATCGAAGAGCAAAGTTGGAAGGGATGTGAAGCTGTAGTCAGTTTTCAGATAAAAAGTTGGTGAGAAAGCTGTGACAATGTTCACTGACACCAAAGACTAAGATGGCATTATGAGCTCCAACTTCCCAAAACCTGTTTACACTGACAGAAACTGAACATGTTTGATATTTACTTCCATGAATGAATTAAATCAATTTCATCTGTTTCACTTGATGCACATTTACAGCCAGATGCCCAGAACTGTAGGAGAACACTGGCATCAAAAAAAAATTCAATACCATCACTCCCAATTTTTACTTCTTTTGTGGGTGATTTACGATTTTTATATATATTTTTATAACAAAAAAAATTACTACGTTTGTAAGTAATTTATAATTTTTGTGAGTGTTTTTACAATTTTTGTGGTATGTTGTGATCGCATATAGTACGGTACCAACAAAAATTGTAAAAAGTGGTATAGTACCAAATTTTTTTTGGTA